GCAGCCCATTCCAACGCCCAACAGCCCCTTCTGCACAGAAATCCTTCCTCAGAGCCAGCCTGACCCTGCCCTGGGCAGCTTGAGGCCATTCCCTCGGGGCCTGGCGCTGGGGCCTTGGCTCCAGAGACTCATCCCCCCTCTCTGCCCCCTCCTGGCAGGGAGTTGCCGAGGGCCAGGAGGTCTCCCCTCAGCCCCCTCTTCTCCAGACTGAACCCCCCCAGTTCCCCCAGCCGCTCCCCAGCAGACCTGTGCTCCAGACCCTGCCCCAGCTCCGTTGCCCTTCTCTGGCCACGCTCGAGTCACTCAATGGCCTTTTTGGGGTGAGGGGCCCAGAATTGAACCCCCTCAGCGAGGGGCGGCCTCCCCAGTGCCGAGCCCAGGGCTCAGATCCCTTCCCTGTCCCTGCTGGCCACGCCAGGGCTGACACAAGCCAGGATGCCGTTGCCCTCCTCGGCCCCCTGGGCACACTCTGGCTCATTATCAACCCCCCCAGTCCCTCTCTGACTGGCAGGACACAGTATCTCTCCCCCGGGGTGTCCCAGGGCAGGCTCTGGCTGCAATGGCTGCGGGTTTTGCAGAGGCAAGGGGGTGTGTTTCCTTACCAGCCCCCAGGAACAAGGTGGACCAGAGATTAACATTCAGCATCATGTGATTGGAGCCCGTCTGGTAGTGAGCTCTCATGTGGTCCTGAGAGACACCAGTCAGCCCATCCAAGGTCAGCGACAGCAGCTAAGAAAAGAGAGAGAGATAAGAGAGAGGCAAGAAAACCTGCACTTTTCACTTCTTCTCTGTGGGGAAGATCTCGAGCATTCTCCTCCTTTTTTTACATCCCAATCACTTATTGAACAGCAATTATACAGCCTCCAAACATACACTAAGAGGGGTGCACGTGCACTCACGTGCTCTCATTCCGCAGCTTCCAAGCACCCCCCTCAAATCCAGCCACCCTCTTGCACAAGCGTTTCCACACCAGCTTTAAGGGACTCTTGAGGGACAAAGGCCGTGGCCTTCTCGGTGTCGTAACCGCCCGTTCCTCCTCGCCCCGCCAGGGGATGGGTGTGTGGGCAGCACTCACCAGCAGCAGCTCCCCGTAGCCAAAGACGTGGTCGTCACTGCCAGCCCCCTTCTTCGGTTTGTAGAGAAACAGGGCCACGCCTGCCACTATCAACAGGACGCAGAGATACTTGGCTGGCGGGTACTTCTTCCGCAGCAAAGTCACGCCTAGAAGCATGACTGTAAAGAAGCAACATGAGAAAACTGCTCCCAAAACCCTTTCAGGGGATTTTAACTTGGCTCAACAGAACAAAACACCACGTGTTCCTCCCGCAGAGGCGCCGTTTTGACAACCGAGATCCTCGCTGAGGGCACGAGAAATCCACACAAACGTATGAGAAGAAACGTGAAATTTGCTCACCTGGAATGGGCTTACAAGATTTGCCAAGGACCTGTAAAAGAAAAACTGTGTTAACTCCCTGTGTACCATCACCTGCCTCCAAGCAGAGCGATGGGGGCTGCAGGAGGGTGATCAGAGGGGTCAGAACACCCTGACACACCCCTCCAATTAAACACAGCAGGGGCTTCACAAAAAGAGGCAAAAACCACCAACTCTGGGCAACTGGTAAACTAACAGCGAAGGCTTCAGAACCCTCTCAAGGCCTCCAACATTAGCACCAACTCCCAATTAGCAAATTCCCCTGGTTTCTAGAGATTGCTATTCCCTTTCTGGAACAGTTTGAGCTCTCTTAACCCCTCCCCTGTGCTGACTGAAACCCACTGACACGGTCCCACAACAGCAGCTACAAGAAGTGTCAAAATCGCAGTTTCCCTCCTCATAGTTTCTTCCGCAGCATTAACTTCCTCAGCACGGTGCCTGTTTCCGGGGCACCCCCAGCGTTAGGGGGTACCAGGGTGCTGAGCGCCCCCCTCGCCCCACTCCACCTGGGTCGGGTAGCTGACGAACTGCAGAGCTGAGTTGCTGGAAACCATCGCGCCCAGGTAGGAGAGGGAGCAGGCGGCGTACAGCCAGCTCCGGGTGCGATCCACTTTGACAGCATCGAAAAACTGTATCACTGGAAGGCAAACAGAGAAGATGAAGGTCAGGAGAACTGCCAACAGCCACTGCCAGCAGGAGGCACCTTCAGGATGTCACCAGAGGCATGAGGGACAGTCGACTGCACCCCAATTTGTGAGGCTGCACCTCAGTGAGTGGGTTCAGTTCTGGGCCCCTCACCCCAAAAAGGCCATTGAGTGACTCGAGCGTGGCCAGAGAAGGGCAACGGGGCTGGGGCAGGGTCTGGAGCACAGGTCTGCTGGGGAGCGGCTGGGGGAACTGGGGGGGTTCAGTCTGGAGAAGAGGAGGCTGAGGGGAGACCTCCTGGCCCTCTGCAACTCCCTGCCAGGAGGGGGCAGAGAGGGGGGCTGAGTCTCTGGAGCCAAGGCCCCAGCGCCAGGCCCCGAGGGAATGGCCTCAAGCTGCCCAGGGCAGGGTCAGGCTGGCTCTGAGGAAGGATTTCTGTGCAGAAGGGGCTGTTGGGCGTTGGAATGGGCTGCCCAGGGCAGGGGGGAGTCCCCGGGATCCCTGGGGGGGTTGAAGGGTCGGGCTGAGCCAGCGCTGAGGGATCTGGGGGAGTTGGGAAGGGTCAGGGTGAGGGTCATGGCTGGGCTGGAGGA